AGTATTTTAACAAACATTTCCATTTAGGGAAATCACTTTGATGTCTGCCCACCTCTCCTTTTCTCTTCTCCCATCTGCAGTTGACTGGGAGCTGTGGGAGTGTTACCGAGTCCAAACTCGTTCTGATCGCTGCACGACAAGCCAATAAATTGGGAGACAAAATGTTGGGGCAAGGAATAGCAACTTTATTCGGAAAGCCAGCAGACGGAGAGGATGGCAGACTAATGTCTTGGAGAACCATCCTGCTCTAGTCAGAATACAGGCTCCTGTATACAAAAACAAAAACAAAAGAAACAGGGGAGGGGGTGTGGTTGGTTGGTGCAAACTTCTTGGTGCAGGGATTCTTTGTTCCTGCAGCTGTCCATGTGGTCATGGTGCTCCTGCAAAACCTCCAACAAAACAAGTGTTATTTATTCTCTATTCTGCAACTTTGTTATCTTTACGTGAGTGCAGCGCTAGCAAGACTAAGCCTAGAAAACAGGGCAGAGTGGTTAAAGCCAAAGGAACAGATTTAATATGGAGTCCGATTTGTTCTCTTCTATTACACAAGGAGCAGCAGTACTTCCTGGGAGTTACTCTTGTTACAGCCGAACCTGCAGCCCCAGAGCGGCTTGCAGTAACATGGGGGTGCTTCTGTTTAGTTCACCCACCTTCCACTGGTCAAGCAAGCCACCTGCCAAGCCCAGAGTCAACGGGGTGGATGGTGGCGAAGTGCATCCGTCTGTTTCATCTGGGGCCACTGCAGAGGGCACGCAAGTGAAGTCCTGTTGCAGGAATAAAGGGCTGGGGAGTCATCTTATCTTCCCAAATGAGCAATGAGGCATTGCTTTTGTGACATCAGGAGACCTGGTGTCCAGCAGAGTGTGGCTCTTTGTTTCCTAATTCTGTCCAGCAAATGAAATCACATCACATGTCATTTATATAACTCCACATCGTTTTTAGCTTTCTGTCTGCAGTCTGAGATGGTCCTTTACATATGGGTTACTCTTGAAGCCCTCCTCCCCCTGATTTTTAAAGAGGTTCACACAAGGCAAGTGCCTGGAGGCAGCAAGTCCAGGGGGTCCCTCCTTATCCTCTCATGGGCTGCCCTGAGATGCCTAGCAGTGATCACATGGTGGAAGTATGCTGGAAGCAGGCCCAGTACCTATGGCCTCTTCTGTTCCTCATTAGCAACAGGAGCTACAAGGGGGCCCGTTTTGGG